TCCCTACAATTGGCTCTAAGCAGCATAAATAGGGCTAGCTGAGGTACTGATGTATAGTCTTTGAAGCCAGCCAACAGTCTAGTGTCTCTTTGTAATAAGAGGCTATGACCTTCCAGGGCAAAAGAGTCTGCATATCATAAACTGAAGCAACAACCTCCTTAACATTAAAATGCTACCCCAATTGAGTTTTGCAGATTGGTCTTTCTACACACCCTTCTATCTGCATACTTCGAGGTACTTTCTAGTCTCCCTCTAAGCTGAGCTCACAGACTCAGAATTTCAGTCATTCTCACAGTCACTCATCCTTAGCCACTCCCTTCTTCAGTAGTTAATAAATTCAGGATGAGGTGCCCGGGCAAGGCCTTTGTTCTGCGAATCCTCACGGGGATCAGACTCAGGACCCTTACGCTGCCCATAATCATGGCTTAGTGTCTTTATTCTTGCCATAGGTTATACTGGAGGTGGTAGATTAAAATTAAATCCCCAGGACTCCAATAATGTTTCAATGGGATTACAAATATAAACTTTCGGGACCGCCACAAGGATGCAAAAGGAATTACACTATTAGGATTACAATGGCCATCCAAGGAGAAGCTTGTGGAACCAGCCCCAGGCGGCCCTCAACTGCCTCTGTGCAGTCTGTGGAATTGGGTGAGGCCACATCTCAATACCTGCCCAGCAGCTGAGCCCTGAAGGCCAGGCCGAGGGACACAAGAAGCCACATCCACCCTGTCATCCTTTCTATACATACACGGACATGCCAGACAGAGAGAATCATAATTCAAGCATTCCACCTTCCTTAAAAAAACAAGTCCAACTAACTGAGAAAGCAACTTTCAAATGAGTGCTTTTGTTTGTTCCAAAGGAGGAAAAAAAGAAAAGTCTGAGCTATGACAATGGGAAAGGAAGAGGAGACCTCACCTGTCCAAGTCTTACATCCAGAGTCCACAGAGCAAGCCAAACTCAAACCCAAGACAGGAGAGGAAGAAGAGGCCCCACTTGTCCCAGGGACCATGCAACAACGTAAACCTAACAGACTTAAAACTTGAGAAGCGTTCTGGACAAATCTTTTTAACTATTCTAGAACACTGTTTCAGCATGTGTAAAATGTTTAATACTGTACTAGTGCAACCTTTTAAATAAATTAGTTTATTTAAAAAATCCAGAGAAGGGGCTGGGGATTTAGCTCAGCAGCATAAGCACCTGCCTTGCAAGCAGGCAGTCATGAGTACCGATAAAAAGGAAAAAGACAAAAAAACACAAAAAACAGAGAACTAGGCTGGCAGGTTTCTGGGAATCCAAGAGCCTAAAGCCCGGAAGAGTAAGAGCAACTAACAAAGCTCCAGGCCCCTGTAGGAACAGGATGTGGGCCCAAGGGCAGCAGCTGGTCATGCAAAGCTGTTGATGAGGGGATGGAGCTGCCTGGCTCCTGAGTCTCAGAACTCCAGAACTCCATGTTCTGCAGCATGCAAAATCCGGATCACGTCCTGGGCTGGCATATGGAAATACCACTCCTGCCAGCTCCACCCACTCCCTGGATCAGTGAGACAGGCAAGCAGAGCAGCACCAACAGGATGCACTGGTTGCCCAAGTGTCCTGGTCACCTGTTCAGGGCTTATTTGCAACCAAGAATGTAGCAGAGTGTGGAATCCTGTAACTCTCAACAGGGCACTCAGAGCTGCTGGATAGATGGCGAGGAGTCTGGAAGTGGGGGTAGGAGGGGGAAATGGTAACACATTCCTAAAGAGTCAGGGATTTTTTTTCTATCTGATAATAAGAAACAGCAGTACAAGCATATGAGGATATTTCTAAACTCTTGTAAAACAAAAACCTTCCATCTTGAAAACCACACTTTAGAGGAAGAACAGAACTATTAAAAACCAGGGAACATATTAGACTGTTAGAGCCAACATGCCTTAATGTACTTATGAAATCCAAATCAAAGGTGAGTCCCCAGGGTCTGTGCCTGCTCCAAGCCAGGCCCTGTGAGCCACTGGTTCCATCCCAGCCCCACAGAGGGAAAAGCACCTGATTGCACCCTGCTGTGGGTACACCACAACCAGAACCAGGTGCTAGGCTCCAAGGACTCTGCTTTGCTCCTGCAAGCATCCTTAACAGTTGCTCCAGGTCCCCTGCACAAGAAGGCTCGGAGTGGCACAAGGTGAGAGGAACACAACTAGCTTGGGTGAAGCTGCACTTTTGTGCGTTTATACTGAGATCAGATGTCCATGTGGTGGGACAGTTAAAGGTGCTAGTGAATACCACAGCAATTCAAGCATCCTAAGCTAGGATCCTTCTCTTTCTAAGAAACAGGCCATCAGAAATGCTTGCTCAATCAATTCCCAAGCAAGTAAGAATCGAAACAGCTTTCATGCCTTCAACAATAAAGGCAGCTACCTCTTCCACAGAGATCCAAGTTATGTCATTAAAGTAAGGAGACCTAAACCCAGCCAGGTCTTCCTACTCCACAGAGAGCAAGGATGAAAACACACACACACACACACACACACACACACACACACACCATGGTGCTGCAACTGTCTATGTCAGGCAAGCTCAGTGCCTGAACTGATCCCCTGACCCAGCCCAGTGCTACCATCACACAGCAGGTTCCTGTTTGCTCCTGTAACATGTACAAATGGGTAGAATTGAGCCTATCCAACTTGTGGCCAGTGAGCTGCTTCCCTTCTTTGTGTGTGTGTGTGGGGGGGGTCTGGGTGTATGTTACAATAACAAGTATTAAAATATAGAACAAGTTCTGTTACTTACTTACATTACATATTTTATATATGGCCTAAAACAATTCCTCTTCAACCAATGGCCCACACAAGCCAAAAGGTTAAACTCCCATGGACTAGATGATGTTTACCACATCGTCTGAATGATCTAACTTAAAATACTGCTATGTGAACTGGGCATGGTGGTGCACACCTACGGTCCCAACTACTCGAGAAGCTGAATCGGGAGGATCACTTGAGTCCTAGAGTTCTAGGCTGCAGTGCACAATCTGATTAGGTGTCTGTACTAAATTTGGCATCAACATGGTGACCACCAGGTTGCCTAAGGAGGAAGCCCAAGTTGGAAACAGAGCAGGTCAAAATACTGCTGTGCATGACACAAAAATATTATTGGCAATAGAGGAGGTATTTAAAAAAAAAAAAAGGCAGCACACTTCAGGGTAGCTGACAGGGCTGTGGAAGCCCTGAAACCATGTTAGAAGACAGAGCAAGTGGGAAGAGACAGCATGGAAGGCCCTACTCAATCTAGTTTAGGGTCCTCTTACTCAATCCAGGGGCAATCTATTTAAGCCAGCCTGTGCAGCATGCTAACTGGGGGTCTCTCCCTACCCTGCCCTTACCTACCATTGCTTGTGCCCAGGAGCTGGTCCTCCTCCAAGAAGGGCTTTCTGGAGGGCAACAATGAGACCACAGACTTCACTCAACTGTCAACCTCTCACTCAGTCTGATGGAATTAAAATTCCTCAATGTCATTACACCACACAGCCATTGCAGATAAAATGCCTCCCTGGGCAGTGTCGATAAAATCCAGCAGCTGTGTGCCCCTCTGCCATCAGTGCTGATGATGGTCAGAGTATTCTAGGGCCTGATCTCAGGCCAATTTTGCAAAGGTGAGATTCAACTCTTAAAAACAGGCCTAGCTGTTCCTGAAAAGGAATGTGGTTGCCACTACACATGTTTTTAAATTACACTGGGTCTGAAAATTGAGAAATAGCCCAGTCTGGCACCGGATTAGGAATTACAGTAAGCACTTGGCCACATCTTTCCTTGTTGGTAACCATGGCCTCCAATGTGACCTAGCTTTTTAATGATGTGCAGACATACCACTACTCCCAGCTGGATACCCAGACAGGCCAGTGACAGTCACTCTCCAACACGTGTAAGTGCCTACAGGCTCCCTTCCTGTAGGCTTTATTAATTCATGATTCTTCCATGAGGAGCTGACTGCTCTGTCATTGCCCAAACCTGAGCAAAACACCACACATGTCCTTACAGATGTGCTTATTTCACACTAAAGATGTTCCAGCTCTAGGAATACCATTTAAAACCTACATTTTCATCTCCTTAGTGTACCACACCCTTGTTTTCCCTGGCAAAGCCCCTGAAGTTTAAAGTCCAGAAGAAAATTTTCTTTTGATTACAATAAGAATCTTTGCCTTAAGAATAAGGCAAAGTTGGCAGCACAGTTCCATTCTTCCACACTTTCAAAACATTCAAGTAGGTTTATCACCACAAACATTTTGTATTAGTGTGTGTCTCCATATTCCCAGCCTGAAAATCTGACTTAAATCTCATTCTTAACTTGAATTCCTTCCACATGCACAACTTCCTCGGAAAACTCCCGGGCTCCTCCTCCTCGCGGAGCCTCAACAGGGGCCTGGACTGGGGGTGGATCTCTTCCACATTTCAGCCACAGCACATATATTCCAAGGCACCAAACCGGTTCCAGGGGCCTTCAGGACTGAGTGCTGAGCTGCTTACAACAGTTTCTCATTCCCCCTCCATAGCGATGGTCCCTCTACGAGTCTGAGCCCCATGGCCAGGAGCAGTGGCTCGCTGGAACACTTAAACTTCTCCCCTCTCTAGTTTTTCAGTATAAAAACGGGGTCGCCACGGGAATCCCCAGGTCAGTGAATAAGCTGCACACTGAGTTTACTGCGGACTCTTCTCAGGGCAGTGGGCGTCGCCCCTTCACCCTGGAAGGCACTTCCTCTCTTCTGGATCCCGCCTGGCCATTTCACTTTCCCGGAGCTCCTTATAAACACTAACACACCAGGCACTGAGTGCCTCGCGGCAGGCACCGGTGGTACTATCCGCCTTTACAGGGCAGAAACTGAGGCTCATCCATGGGCATACAGAGGTCAAGGGGCAGAGCTGGACCAGAACCGGGGTTGGATGCTCTAGAATTCCGACCCCTCTGTATGGCCCCGCGCCCTCGCCTCTCCCTCCCTTCCCGGACCCTCCCAGCCCACCCGTGCCCACCTCGTCGCCGAAGCGCACCAGCTTCTGGCCCGTGGGCCCGCGCAGGCCGGGGAAATGTCCAGGGTCCCCCGGGTCTCCTGAGTCCGAGGGTGCTGAGACGCGCGGCCCCACCAAGCAGCGGTCGATGATCTCGTCCTGCTGAGCGGGTGGCAGCCGCGCCCACTCGGGCCCGTACTTCTCACGGATCTTCTCCTTGTCCTGCATGATCTTCTTGGCCATGGGGCTCAGAGACGAGAAGTAGGTGAAGCGCTTCCGCTCCCGCTCGTCCAGCGGACGGTTGGCGCTCATGACCGCGGAGCGCGAGGCCGCGATCGCCGCCGCCATGGACGCCATGCCCAGCCCGCCAGAGCACCGCCCCCGTCCCGTCGGCGTACCCGTCCCCACCTCCGTCCCCGCCTCCGTCCCCGCCCCGGCCGCGTGCCGGGAGTCCCGCCCCATCCCTCTGCCAATCAACGCGCGCTCCGCGCCCCCGGCTCCGCCCCCCAGCCCGGATCAGGCCCTCTGCCCCGCCCCGAACCCGCCTCCGTCCAGAGCGCCGTCGGCCCGTGCCCCGCCCTCCACCTGCGAGCTCTGTCTCGAACCTCGCCCCGAGCTGCCACGTAGGCCACGCCTCCTCCCCTAGGGCCACGCCCCTCTCAGCACCGGCCCCTCCTCTCCATCGCCAGGCCCGCCTCTCGCCCCACCCTCCTTTCCTCGAGGCTTGTTTTTTGTCCCCTAGTGCTGGGCTGTTTGTCGCCCGTCTGCTGGCTCCTGCGGCCTGGCGAATCCCTAAGTCTGCGCGCAGCTGTCGGACAAAGCTGCTTAAGCTGCTTACCAAAGCAGCCTTGTCTGAGTAGAGTCCGCAGTGACTGCCCCCGGCGACCGCCATGACGCCACGTGGTCACGCTGACAAAGGAAACTTCTCTGCCCGCATGCCTGACGCCCCTGGGGTCCCGCAGCCCTGCTCCTTCCCGCTGCCCAGCAGGTCAGCGAGACGCTGACCCGCTCGGGTGGACACCGGCCTACTGGGGAGGCAGGATTCGCATCCAAGGACAGTGAGTCGCTCCTCTGGAAGGCTGAAAGAGGCCAGGACACCTAGGCGCCTCCTTCGCGGGTGCGCGAGGCGCTGCGCTCCCCAAAGCTTGCCTTTGAAAGCAAGCTGCTGATGTTCACTGCGTTTCAGGAATATGTCTTTACCCATCTCGTTATTAAACAGGGATTAGAGGAGAGAAGGCCGACTCAGGTCAGTGTGCTGAGCCTAACATAGCATCTGCTTAAATGGAAAATAACAATACCAAAAAGTAAACTTCCAAAAATGGCAAGGCTGATTCTGGAATCTCATATATCACAAGAACTCTGAGCAGCTTGATCTTTGCAAAGTGGACAGGCGAAAAGTTTTCACGGCAACGGAGCGACTGCCAGACAGGGGACCCAGGCTTGTGAAATGTCTTTCTTACAGGTCAAAGGCAGCTTTTAACAAGGCTGTGACATGTCTCGGGTGAGAAATAAGTATTCACTCCAAAATTTTCCTCTCAACTATTGCTTTAAGTCTTTGCCCCTGAAATAACACTTGCATAATTCCAAACACAAACAGAAATAATTTGCAAGGCCCTGTTCTAAAAATGAGAGGCTTTAATATCTTCCCAGCCAGAATTCCAAAAATGTTTTTGGAATGTCAACAGGCTCTACAGTGAAAGATACTGTTCTCAAGGACGTTATCAGCATGATCTGTTGAGGCAATGGGAAGCAGCTTCTGCTATCCATCTAACAGCCCTGAGCTGCACAGGATGCTTGCTTATTTATGAAGCTGCATCTTGGGAAGCTGAGTTTTAGGTATTATTCTTCCTTATTTAAATTGGTGGTAGGTAGGCTCAGTACACTTACGTGAACTGCAGAACACCTCCCCATTTTGCTTAATAATATGGGTGGTGCATAAAGATGTATTCTTGAGATTTGATGGACATCTGGGATCTTCCTCTGAAATTCACTAGAAAGGATTCTTTGGCATTAAAAGTTGACCTCCGGCTGTTTTCAAAGCAGTTGCAAAAATAAATGCTGCTTCCCAAAAGAACACAGAGCTCCATTAAATGTTTGGGATAAAATATAATTTACTACCAAAGAAGTTTTCAAAATAATATGTCTGACACATTAGTCAAAGTATGAAGTCTGTGGGCCAGAAGATAAAGTATAACTGAAAGGAACTTTGTTCCAGATTATAAGAAGAAACTCAGGGCATTCAATGGCTATGACAGAGACCTTGGCTGAAATTAGAAGCATTTTATATATGGGGTCTGTGTCTGTATATACTTGGGGTAACCAAGTCTTAAATATGTAATAAGAGGCAATGGTCGGAATATCTGCTACCCCCAACCCAAACTCATATGTTAACTCCTAACCCTCAAGGTCGCGATGTCAGGAGGGAGAGTCTTTCTGAAGGTGATTAAACATAAGGACAAAGCCAGGATGAATGGTTAGTATCCTTATGGAAGAGACTTAGGGAAGTCCCTTGCCCCTTCCACTATCTGGGGCCATAGTGAGATAGCATACCCTATGAACAAGGAAACCGGCGCTCACCAGACACCACATCTGCTGGTGCTTTGGCCTGGGACTTTCAGCCTTCAGAGCTGTGAAGAACAAATCTTTGTCATTTCTCAGCACCCAGTTTATGTTTTGTTACTACAGTGCCAACAGACAAAGACATAAGATAAAATACTGGGGCAGCTCCCTGCTGAACACCTGTCTCATCTGCTCCACTTGCTACAAGACAGTACCAGCGTCGGGGCTCATAGAACAGCAGGTTCCGGAGACTGCTGATCCAAGATCAGGTGCTGCCATGGTCAAATTCTGCTGAGGTTCGGCTTGAGGGAACTCTTCTGGTTGCACATTGCCGACTCTCCTCGTATTCACAAATGGCAGAAAGAAAAGAAGCAAACCCTCAACTGATTCAGGGAACTAATCTTGCTTGTAAGAGCTTCAAACTTTGACCTCATCTAACCCTAACATCATTCCTGAGGCCTCACCTTCTAATACTGCCACATTGGAGTGTATGTGTTAAACATCTCAACTTTGGGGAACAAAAAAAATCCCTTTTATAACCACATCTTTTATTTTAAAGAGATTAAGACAAAACAGGACATAACAAAGTAGATCAAAACAGAACAATGTAAGCAACACAGTATTGTACCACAAGACAACCCGTAATTAATAGTACCTACCACAATGTCTCTTTCTTTGAAATAGTTGAGCATAACTTCATATACAATAGTATCAAACATAACAAAATAGTATAAAACTATTCAAGAAAATGAGAGTATTACAGGGCATTCTGAACCAAATAACAGAAAACAATGGCTACTATGTTTTCTCATTTTCCATAGAAAATTTGTTTATACTATCACACATAATACAATCCAATAAGATACAACATGATAGAGCCAATGGAAATAAAAGCAAAATCATGGTAAGACTTCAGAGTAATTATATCAGTACTGGCTATTATAATGACTGGTTTTCTTTAAAATAGCTGTTCATACCATCACAGATGAAAAATATTAAACAAACCAGGATAAACCCATTCCAACTAATGAATGAAATCATTACTTCAAAAGCAGTATAACGGGGAATCATAAACCATACCATAAACTCTTAGGTACTCTTACTATTTCTTACACTAGGGAGACTTTACGGTATTTATACATGTGAGTTTGATTTATTTCACTTATAAGTATGGTCTCAAGTTGTGCCCGTTTATTAGTAAGTATCTCAATGTGATCATTCTTTATAGCTGAGTAGTACTACATTGTATGAAAATACCACAACTTTTTTATGTATTCCTCAGTTGATGGACACTTAGGTTGTTTCCAAGATCTGGCTGTTACTAATTGTGCTGCTATAAACATGGGCACACATATATCACTGTGGTAGGATGTTTTCAGTTCTTCTGGGAATATGCATAGAAATGGAATAGCTGGATCAAATGGGACTTCCAATCCTAGCTTTTTGAGAAATCTCCAGACTGACTTCCACAATGTTTGTACCATTCTATACTCCCACCAACAGCATAGAAGAGTTCCTTTTTCCTCACAGCCTCTCCAGCATTTGTTTTTGGTAGTTTTCTTGATCCTGGCCATTCTTTCTGGAGTGAGATGGAATCTCAGTGAACCGCATGTTCTTAATCCAATGTCTTATTGACCTTTCTCATTGCTGAGACAAGTTCAGCTCACAGTTTGTAGAGATTTCAGTCCGTAGTTAGCTGTTTTCTAGGCATAGCAACGTGGCAGAGGACCATTATAGAGGAGAAATAGTTCATGACCTGGCAGGCAGAAGGCAGCAGCAAACTAAACATCCCTTTTCTTTTATCCTATGCAGGGTGCAAGCTTTTTTGATAGTGCCACCCACACCCAAGGTTGGCTTTCCCATTATCCACACCAGAACGATGCTAATTCCAATCAGAGAACTAACTTAGTTATTACACTCTTAATTGTAGTATCACACACACCTTAAATCCAGCCAGCTCCCAAAATCCCCACCTATGAGCACATGAGACTTTGGGGGACATCTAAACACAAGCCATAATGGGCAGAATTTGGATGGATATACCTGCCTGACACTTTTCTTGAAGAAAAAAAAGGCCACCAATTCTGTTCACAGAATAAGGAGACAGGCAAGTCATCCTTGGCTCCCTAAAACGGTTGCACACCAGTGATTTACAGAAATATTTACTGCTTTATATGCAGTGCCATGGGGATAGAACAGAGTCAATGTAGTGGATCTCCTGGTGGTGATGGTTGGTATTCAGCAACTTTCCATAGCCAGGGATGCTTTTTTAGTCTGGCTAAGTAACCATAGCTTTTCATAGGTGTTATTACCTCTTGGCATGCTCTTCCTAGATGTTAGGGAGACATGGCAGAAATGCCTTACCTAGAGACTAAACACTTCTGTAGCTCTTTCTTTGCAAATGACATTTCAATTGTTACTTTTGGGTATTCTGGAGTCCCCACCAGGATCAAGCCTACACTACAGGAGAACTTTGTGTCTTGTTTTTTGTTGAAAATAACAGTGTTTGATTTCAAGTGAGCTCAGTGGTACTTGATAAATGAATCATGAAAAAATGAATGCTTGGAATGCTTCTCTTTACAGAGAAGGGAACAGATAAGGCATCAAGGGCTTTTCAGAAGTAGCTGGATTTAAAGTGTGTGATGCTGGGACCAATGGTGTGTAATTACTAAATTAGTCCACTGATTGGTTTGGCATAATTCTGGCTGTGGATATAGGAAGGCAGTGAATGCTGGCTGTGAATGCTGCCTTCCCTGAGGGCATGTAACCTGAGTAGACTGAAAGGGACGGAAGAAGGTCATTGCTTGCCGCTGCTCTGCTACTTTGCAG